TGATAATTATTAAAGCTGAAATTTTAATTTGCGTTTTGGAAATAAATTTGATGATAGATACTAAAGAACCTTTTACCTCTAATTAAATACAAGTAGTGATTATGTACCTGTCACAGGTCCGATATAATAGTTATTCAGGATCATAGTATAGGTTCACTACTACACTGGCATCAAAATACGAAGACGCCCGTGACACCGAAACAAATTGTTTTGAAGAATCCGATTTTTCTTGCATCTTGGAATTTGATGCCATCTTGTATTGTACGGTTGCTCAGAGATATTTCTGAATGTTACCGGATGAGAGTTAGTTCTTCATAAAATTTCTTTACTAGTCGTTATACTAATCTGAACAAATGCACTTGTTTTTTCTCATTCTTTTTCTTTCAGACTTATGAAGTGCTTGTTTGTGTTGAAAAAGAAAAAATTCAAGCTGCAGCCATGCTGCTTACAAGTAAGCAGTTAGTAATAGAAAGTAGGAAGCAATTCTTGGCTGAAGCTCGCATTCTGAAAAAATTATCACATCCGAATATTTTACAGTTTTATGGTGTTATTATTACAGCTCTTCCGTTTACTATGATTGTTGGACTTTGTCAAAGTAAGAAAATTTCGTTTTTAATTATCGTTGGTTATAAATCGTAACCTATAGACTAAACCTGTAACTTACAATTTATATTTTATATTTTACAGCTGCAATTTTTTTTTTTTTTGAGATTGACGTAAGATTACTTCAAACCTACAATCTATTATTACTTATAATCTATGACCATATTACTGCTTATTCCGTAGTTAAGGGCTATAATTTACAACCTATAATTTATTACTTAATACTTATGACGTATACTTTATAATTTCTCAAATATTTTATAATTGTTTTCTTCTGGAAATTGCATAACTTGTAACGTACAACTATAACCCTGAAAATAATTTTAAAAAATTGAAACAGATAAGGCTATAACATCTGAAATGCTCGAGTTAAATGATTTTTGTCGAAACGTCTAGTATTCAAAATAAGAATGCACATTGGGGATGAAAATACAAATTGAAAATTTAGTGAAATTGCTAACACTTCTACAAAAAAAAGAAGCTCGAAAAGACCAGAAAGCACGCTATGCAGCCGAAGCAGCAGCTGCACTGAAATATCTCACTGAGAAAGGATATGTCCATAAGTGATTAGTTTTTCTTTCGAAATCTCGAGATTTACTGGTGATATTGATGTGCTATAAAAGTAATGTATTTTATTTGGTTCACTTTTTCTTTCCGGATTTTTCAACGTACTTTAAAATGCTTCTCAGGTCAATTAAAAAATTATTATAAAATCCCAAAATAAAATAGGGGAATAGCAAAAACTTCTTCAGTGAATGTAAAAAGCGATGAGGGAGGACAACTGATAAAATTTTGATTGGTGTATTAATTTCGAAAATCTCTCGAAATTATAATTCAGAGATGTGAAAGCAGAGAATTGTCTAATCGATAGAAATATGAAGTTGAAATTGGCTAATTTTTGCTATGCTGGATCAGACCGGTGCCCACTATTTATTCATAAGGAACCTTTGGAGAGTATTTCTGTAGGGTGGTTGGCTCCAGAAACCATGTTGAGACACGACTTTTCTAAGGAGACCGACGTCTGGGCTTTTGGCGTCCTTGTAAGTTTCTCCATCAGTGACGCTTTTGGCGTCCTTGTAAGTTTCTCCATCAGTGACGCTTTTGGCGTTCTTGCAAGTTTCTCTGTTAGTAACGCTAAAAATAAGTTTCTTAGCCATAAAAGAAAGAGCCTTAATCATGTATTTAGACGAAGTGTATTACAGTAATGCTTCATATTCTGTCATTTTTAAAGAGATTACTTACGACACTGCAGATACTCTTTTTTCGGTTGGCTTTTATCGTTTCATTTCAACAAAATTTGAGATGTGGGAAATTTATGAAGACGGCGATATACCTTATCGAGGTCTATCAAACATGGAAATCCGGTCGTTTGTTATCCACAGTCAAAGACGCTTGCCACTTCCAAAGGTTGCTTTTCTATAACCCACTATTTATTCATAAGGAACCTTTGGAGAGTATTTCTGTAGGGTGGTTGGCTCCAGAAACCATGTTGAGACACGACTTTTCTAAGGAGACCGACGTCTGGGCTTTTGGCGTCCTTGTAAGTTTCTCCATCAGTGACGCTTTTGGCGTTCTTGTAAGTTTCTCTGTTAGTAACGCTAAAAATAAGTTTCTTAGTCATAAAAGAAAGAGCCTTAATCATGTATTTTTTCGTATTCCTTATTAGCACAATTCCAACAAACTGTATGTATACCATTATGCAAAGAACGATATATCTTAAAATATTGGAATTTATTTTCAGTAGCACATTATCAATTAACATATGCAGTGACTTCTTCAAATGAAAGTGACTAGATTATTTTTAGAAAGCGCCAATGAAGGTGAAAAAAATAATGATACGTTGCTGGGAAGAAGATCCATCTCGACGACCAACATTTCAAGAACTTGAGTCCACACTGGGTATCGTAAAGGATGAGCATTAAACTTCTGACCGCATCATAAAATTTTTGCACACAAATCACTAATGCGCTTGTCCTTGACCAACAAGGTACTTGGTCGGCAAACACCAGAAAATGTGCTAGAACTAGACTATCCAATAATAAACCACTTTGCTAGATTTAATAAAATCAAAGATAAAAGAACAAGAACTCTTCCGATAATTCCAAGTGCACCAACAACAAAATCCAATGACGTGCATGGAAGAACCAAACCTGAAAGTTTGACATTAACTCCAAGCAAAAAACAATGACGACAGCTCCTTGGATACCGTTTTGTTATGAACAAAGGAACATGTGAAAGCGAAAGCTCCACTACAGTAATATCCTCACACGGATGACACCAAATACCACGAATCTTCTACAATCCCTCTGTTTTCGATAACTGAATAATTTCATTGTTTTACAACTATGCACTGATGATGTGCGATAACTTCCTCCACCTACCACCGAAATTTCCCAGAAATTTCATTCCATATTACATAATTTGTAGAAGTGCTTACAAAAATCAAATACTATTTCTTAATCAAGAGAAATTCAGCACTGTCACATGTCAAAATAATCACAAGTAGTCACAAGCATCGTAAAGTTTATTCACAAATCCATGGAAAAGGAAAATCACGTCTATTTCCAAAACTAAAAGAAATCTGATCGCTTTGACTAGTAATTAGAATTAGCGGACAGTACATCAATTTTTCCAAAAGCAGCACTCTTCCCGTGAGAAAAGTTAATCCTTGAAAAGATGAAGACTTTATCAACTTATTCGAAGTTTTCGGATTTCACAATTGCAATCCCTCTCCAAAGTCAGCTTGATGAAGACGTTATTGATTTTCCAGTTCAACAAAAATTTACAGCAAGTATGAATCAGTATCCACCACGAAGGCGGAGAACCAGGTGCAGTGTTGACTCCTTCTGAATATTATAATCTGATAATGTACGACCGTCCTCCAATTGCTTGCCCGCAAAGATCAGTCGCTGCTGATCTGGTGGAATGCCTTCCTTGTCTTGAATTTTTGCTTTGACGTTTTCGATAGTATCAGAAGCCTCCACTTCGAGTGTTATGGTTTTACCCGTCAAAGTCTTTACAAAAATCTGCATTCCTCCACGCAGTCTAAGCACCAGATGCAAAGTAGATTCCTTCTGGATGTTATAATCAGAAAATGTGCGACCATCTTCCAGTTGCTTTCCTGAAAAAAAAAGAAAAAAAAAAAAAACTAGACTAAAGAAGAAAGAATTCCCGACTCGAAATTAAAGTTTCTGAACATTCCTTAACGTAATGTAAACTAATTTGGCATTAGAATCTCAGTGCAGACAAAGTGGAACTGTGCCGAGCAGAAGGAATGCCCTCTTCTTCACCACGGATATTGTCATTCAATTTAGGATCGCACCCAATGCTTCTTTCTCCAGTGTTACAGTTTTGATAGTTTAACGAAATATATTCCACCACGAACACAGAGCGCCAAGTGCAGTATCGATTCCTCTACATATTATTTAGACAATATGCGTTCATGTAGATGACTAGAAACCATCCGCGCTACTGATATATTAATAGACGACATATCACATTTCAAATTTTTTATTCATTGAGCAAAAATCAAATAAACGCTTGCCAGCAAAAATAAGACGCTGTTGATCCGGAGGGATCCCTTCCTTATCCTGAACCTTGGCCTTTACATTTTCGATTGTGTCAGAAGTCTCAACTTCTAAGGTGATCGTCATGCTCGTCAATGTTTTTACAAAAATTTGCAAGCCACCTCGGAGGCGAAGTACAAGGTGGAGTGTAGACTCCTTTTGAATATTATAATCAGACAAGGTACGACCATCTTCCAATTGTTTACCTACAAAAAAAAAAAAACACGCATACATACAAAACATAATAAAATTGTCACCCATCCGAAATGTGCATTATTTTTGCCAAAATTCTAACAGAAAAATTAATCACCATAAGACATCTCCCGGAAGAACATACCCGCGAAAATCAATCGCTGTTGGCCTGGTGGAATTCCCTCCTTGTCCTGGATTTTTGCCTTAACATTCTCGACGGTATCAGATGTCTCCACTTCCAATGTGATTGTTTTACCAGTAAGAGTTTTAACAAAGATTTGCATACCACCCCTCAGGCGCAGAACCAAATGCAATGTAGATTCCTTCTGAATATTATAATCTGACAAAGTACGCCCATCTTCCAACTGCTTACCTGAAAGAATGAGTTGTTATGGTACACCTCTTCTTTATAGCTACTTAACGAACTAAAACAGAAACTTCATATAAATCAAGTAATACCATACCTGCAAAAATAAGGCGCTGCTGGTCTGCAGGGATACCTTCCTTGTCTTGTATTTTTGCTTTAACATTTTCAATTGTGTCTGAAGCCTCCACTTCAAGAGTGATCGTTTTTCCAGTCAGTGTTTTTACAAAGATTTGCATGTTTACAAGCACTGCAAAAAGTTAGGTTTATTTTATTGGTAGGGATTTTGAGAGAAACCTAAAAGTATTCGATTACATAGAACATGCTGCCTAGAAAGCTGTGACATGCTACCAGCTCTCATGCAAATATATAGATAATTTGTTATCTCTGAAGTAAAGTCCTATCTGAGCGGCTATTCTCAAACCCTCTCGAACTTTCTCAGCTTTGTCTTTCTAATAACCGTACTGGTTACCAGTGGGTACAACTTGCCATTCCAACTACCCGCAAGCCTCCAAATTACCCATTTAATGACGTCCCCCCCACTCCACTCCACTCCAACAAGCGACATTCCCAGCCAGCCAACCCAACGAATGAATGGTTCCCAATGCAGGCCGGCCAGCTTTTATAGCATTCCGTCCGAAGCCCTCCCCACTCTTCCACAATCGATCGATTTGTTGGAAAGTCAACCGTACAGCTCGCTGCCCTCCTTCTCTCGTTCTTCCGTACTTGCAAATTTTCTGTTCAGATTGTAGTAATGTGTGCATTATCGATTGGCTCTTGTCTCAGATGACAGATGGGAGCCAATCGATAATCAATCGATACATAGCCGAACCGTCATTTCAATTGCCACAAATACAAATAAGATTGGGAACTTCTTACCTACCACTCAGTCGTTCATCATTCCATCCAGTCATCTAAGTTGTACAGCCATCTTTCTGTGGGTGCGGGAGAAGGGCCAGGATTTGCCGGGCCTATCAAAGGTTCGCCTTAACAACGTCGCAGACTCAGACAGCAACAGCAATAAATGATGCATCTGAGCATAACTTCTACTAACTGACCCTCTACCTGTCGACGCGACTGGAAAAGAGGTACAATGATCTGATCCTTTGACCTTCACTGCCATGTATGGGACATCATAGACAACGCCAGATATGAATCTCAAGCCGTTGTCTTCTAATACTTCCAAGGATTATGATTGTGAGTGATAATGGTGATAATAGTTCATGTTTTACAAATAACAATAGGTAAAAGAGATCCTGAGCGATGCTGACTTGAGAATCCTTTTAACTATTAAAAATATTTACTTCAAACGATGACTTAGCTGGCTCTAGGGGTCGCTCTGCTATTATTTTTGTGTGCGGAGAGGTCACATAATAGTTATATCGCTGTGAGTATGCTAACTTTCTAGATTCTAATAAACAGAGCATTTACTGCTGTAGCTTCAGCTTATTCTCCAAATATGTCAACCTTATTGATGTCACCTTTATGACTCTTAAGAACTTCTGCCAGTTTACTCTTCCTTGTTTGCTTCTTAACATATTCTCTCATTAATCAACGATAAGTTGACTCATCTCTAGGAGATTCTCAGATGCACCGAATGTGCACTTGAAGATTTGTTCGCATTGAGTGCAAATTAGGCCTATAATTTGTTCTACATCTTTCTGTTTAATAGTGTAATTGATTTCTTGGATTATCAAATTATCAGTGACTAGCGAAAAAGAGCAACAGGTTATCAGTTTAAGTCACGTATATGTCCTGTTACCCTTTGCTACTTTAAGGCAAATGCAAATTGTTAACAGCTTCACCATATGATCGTAATTCATTCTCAGTAACACTTATTACTCATATATATCATTCCCCAATGAGCTATTTCACTTTACACCTAGCATTTTCCTTATGTAAAATATGATGAAATATGATCTACTTTATTTTACTCTATTTATATCGAAAGAGCAATGCGCGAGAAACGACGTCAATTGTACATATAGTGAATTACAACAGATGAAATAGTCGAGAAGGAGGGAATTCGAGAAATGAACCCAGAGCCCAGTAATAAGTGAATGTGACGGTACAGATAGTCAAAAATTACAGATTTGAGAGCAAATAAAATTAAAGGACACAAGGAGTTAAGAAAAAACGGAAAAATTGCGAAATGGAACCGGGAACAGATTAGTGAAAATCATCAGAATTCATCATAAAACACAAAAATATATTCTTGTGAAATTCCAATCAAATTTTAAAATAAATTAAATTTTAAAATCAAAATCAATTTAGTTGGGAGTAATCACACCACTGTTCTAATGTGCAATCAAAAAACAACTGAAAAAAGATTTGTCATTAGAAATCTAAATAAAAATAAAAACAATTAGTAATAGAAATCAAGAATGAACAAGCTTTTGACATACAGTGCAGAAAGCATTCTCAGAGCAAGTTTTTCTCTAATTATAAGATATCAAAAATCGAATGAAATATTGTACAAAGAGAAAATAGCATAAATATATGTAAATCAGTGTATATGTAAATTTTAAAAGTATATTAACATGTAAATCAATGGATCAAAATTTACTGTATAGTGGACCAGTTTGCAAGCGACAAAATTTTATTTCGAGGAGTGACAATCGAATCATCATCGTCTCAACTGTGATCGTGCAAGCTTACCGAAAATTTTCGATGTCATAAAGTGGAATAATTATAGAGTTAAGACATTTACTTCAACTTTCTGACAGCACGGAGAGCTATGTTACGGCTGAATTATCATTCTATTAAATTACAAAATTCTATAATAAAAAAAAGTGAGATCCTTCAAAACTTAAGAGAGAGCATTATTATTGGTCATTTTTTTCTTTTTTTTTAATCAAAAAAACAGTAAAAAGGTAAAGTGAAAAATGAAATAATAAATGAACTGTATGCATCTTAATTATTATCCAAAAATGGATAATAATTAACTTAATATTAATGCTACATTTCGATCATACCTTGTAAAAAAGATATTAAAAATTTTCTGAGATCATCGATGTAACAAAAAAATAAGCAGCATAAATATTCATCACATTTCAAATTTTCATACATGAAAAATTAAATTGTATATTTACGGAATATGACAAGAAAGCGTCTCATAAAAGTGAAATAAATAGCAGAATGCAATAAAATTTACAAGAAAGTTATATCTATATATGTAAAATAAAGTAAGTAGATGAACCACTTACTTTATTTTCTTTATCAATTGACATTTTTGAAATCATGAATTGTATTCCAAAATGTGTGCAACTTCCTCAAACTTCTTCCATGAAATCCTTTTACATTCCATAACAATTTGTTTGATTTTTCAAAATATCACTATTACATTTTATTTTGCACCGAGGTTATTCAGAAGGAGTAAATTTATTAAATAATAGGATTATTAAATATCTTATGCCATATGTCTTTCATTCAGAAAACCATAATAGCAATTGCATTTTCTAACGGTAGTACTGAATAGGAATTATTGATTATCTTGAAGTTTTATAGATTAATGGAAAACCGCAGATCTTTAATTTTAACCTGCTTTCTTAAAGTAAAAAATATTGGAAATTTTGTATAACTAATGTTTTTGGCTATTCTGTTCGATTGCTTATGATACTTTGAAAATAGTTTTTCTTAAAACAGAATTGTTTGAGATGTAATGATGGTTGAACATTCAAAGTTCCGAAAATCAGTTAAAACTTCGAAGAAATTGATTAATTTATGTGCAAAAGATCCATCATTACTCGGGCCACATCAATTATTATTTTCTATCATACGATAATTCGATGTCGAATAGGTATTGAACCAGCAGCTTCATTTATGGGTATTGTGTGATTGTGAAGAAATAGCTACAGATATACACAACAAAAAAATTCCGAGTGGGTTAGTTTCAATTTTGGATTTTTGTTCTTTCATAACTCTATAATTTATTTTTAAAGTAAACTCTAAGCTTTACATTTTAATATGTTAATTTAAAATCATTAATAATAGCTGCAGTCATTTGCTAACGAAAATTTAGTTTGTTGTAGCAATTACCTTTCTGCATTTGAGTAAATTGTAGTTAATTTTCCATGAAAGCATACATCTTCGAACTTATTATATTTTATGTTTCAAAATTCCTTTCTCTCTTTCTCTCTCTAAACTTAGAATTTCTCTTCTTGCTTAGTAAAAAACGTTTAAAATTTTAATTTCGTTATGTATTTTAATTTCGTTACGTTTAAAATTTTAATTTCGTTATGTATTTTTTTTGGCTATCTTTTCCAGACCGCTATTGTATTTAAATTCTGCCTATCATTCCCATTGCGACCGATTTCATATACACAGTGGATATCGAAGAACAGGAACTACATCAAAGTAACTTAATTTAGCATTACTTGTTAGACGAGAAAAATGGATGAATGTTAGTTTACGTTATCAGTTAGCTATTTATTTTTTAAATTTCAGAAAGCAGGCTAATAATTGCAGATATATCCTAAAAAAAGAGAATTTTAAGTTATTTGAAACTGATACTTTAAATCATTGAAATAGTAGTTTCTTTTAAGAGAACTTATGTAATTATTTCAGAAAATTAACTTTTGATGAGACGTCACTAAAAGAACGACGAAGCCAAATACGTGTTTACAAATGGACTGCAGAGTCAGAAAATTTAGGAAAGAGCACAGGAAGATACAACATCACCTAATGTTCCTTACTTTCTGTGGTTTGGTTCAACTACCACTGCCAACTGCCACTCTAGGTCAGCCCTTATGACCACTTTTCATTCATATATAAATAAAAATGCGAGCTTCAGCCAAGAATTGCTTCCTACTTTCTATTACTAACTGCTTACTTGTAAGCAGCATGGCTGCAGCTTGAATTTTTTCTTTTTCAACACAAACAAGCACTTCATAAGTCTGAAAGAAAAAGAATGAGAAAAAACAAGTGCATTTGTTCAGATTAGTATAACGACTAGTAAAGAAATTTTATGAAGAACTAACTCTCATCCGGTAACATTCAGAAATATCTCTGAGCAACCGTACAATACAAGATGGCATCAAATTCCAAGATGCAAGAAAAATCGGATTCTTCAAAACAATTTGTTTCGGTGTCACGGGCGTCTTCGTATTTTGATGCCAGTGTAGTAGTGAACCTATACTATGATCCTGAATAACTATTATATCGGACCTGTGACAGGTACATAATCACTACTTGTATTTAATTAGAGGTAAAAGGTTCTTTAGTATCTATCATCAAATTTATTTCCAAAACGCAAATTAAAATTTCAGCTTTAATAATTATCATTTTCCAAAAAAAAGAAATAGGCTCACAAAACGAACCTTATAGTCATCATTGAAGAAATACAATTTATTCATGCGATTAATACATACTGTTATTACTTCACCATTGTGGTAAACAGAGAGGACACAAACGAGCTGACCTAAATTATTCTTTTCCATTGCTTGAATTTCATTGCATCATTTAAAGTTTTCAAAGTTTGAGGATAGCTTTAAGTTCGGAATTGAAATTATCTTTACTAATAATTAAAACGTTAATAAATCTCCGATTTTAATGAAACTACCAGCAAAGTTTTGAGCAACAGTGAAAAACAATTTTACCTTTATAACCCATTAGTCGAAGTAAGTAATCACCCTCCTTTGTGAGTACTGTTTTCGCATCTGCTAATGGCATATAACCATGAAGTATTTTTCGATTGCGCAAATCGGGATCCATTCGTTCCTCGAATATCCGAACAGTTGACGTAGACATTTTTTTTCCCAATATATATTATTCCTATTGCAACTGCCTGATAAGATAAAAGAACGAAGCTACACTAAACCGTTCCACTTAACGATAAAAAATACAATAAATGTAAAGAAAAGTTATATTTTATTTTAAAACAATCAACCCACCATCTTAAATATCATACCCTAAGATTAGTAACTAACAGTAATAAATGAAAAATTCCCAGAAATTTTTTTCAGGAATTTTTTTAATAACTATTACAGATTAATTAGTAAAACATTGAACAAGGAATATGTAGCTTTGCTGTCATTGAATTTTACTCCAGAGTACTTTTCTAGTTCTCTTACTAACAAGCTGTTCTAGAAATAGCAATACAAAACTTTAGCTTGATAGTTGAAATCTTTGGACTCTTCATAAAGCATAAGAAACAAATTATAATGATTTAAAAATTTTTATCTTACAACTAGACAAGAAATGGCTTAAAAAAACAAAACCGTCTGAATCGAATAGGAAGAATAAACTTCACAAATAAATGAAAAAATGACAATCGCAGATGTATAAAGGCGCAAATATTTTAAAGAATTGAGTCTTTGGTCAGAGTGTTAGCAGGAATTTTACCAAGCCATTCGAAAAAGTGCACATACATCTACAAAACATTAAATTAAAAGAAACAAATTAAAGAAGACATCAAAGCAATCTAGCTTTTTTAAATTTGACAAAATTACACTGTCGCTTACAAATGAATCTTAAAAAGATTTCTAAACGATCAAACTTTACAAAAAAATTCATTTAGAAAAAAAACCGACACTTTTTTAAAATCATCAAAAATATGTCAAAAGTACAACAGCATTTATAATATTTAATATAATGTAATACAGCAGTGACTTTTCAACAAAACAATATTGTAAAAGAGTTACTTGAATTCAGTAGGTAGTGATATTATGATAGCCGTATTCTACATAAACGGAAACTTCAACCTTCATCCAATATATTGGAAAATTATTAAAAAATTACTGATCAGTAACGATTCGATTACAATTCATTAATGAATAGTACTCCATTTCCAAAGAAAGCTTAACTTTCAATTTCTATTACCTCATCTAACCATTTGTTTCCTGGTAGACCTGTCGCGAAACTCGAAACAATCTCGCGAACCTCCACATAATTTACAAATTATATCAAATAAAATTGTATTGATTCATAATACTAAAATTCATTTTAATTAAACATTAGAAATGTAAAACTGTTTCAATTATTATGTAAGCAATCATTATTCCAACACTCATCTTCCCATAGTATTTGAGTTTATCTGAAAATTATGTAAGCAATCATTGTTCCAACACTCATCTTCCCATAGTATTTGAGTTTATCTGAAATTCAAAAATAATCTCGCGAATAATCCCACTTTTCATTCATATATAAATAAAAGGATTAATAAAATTGGATCTGTATGACCGGTGTATTCCGCCCAGGTCATTAATATAATCGGTTAATTTAGGCTATTTGTGGTAGCTAGTGTGATTTGGCACTGTGATTACACGCAAATGAAGTGCGCCATTTGACGAAAGTTTTATCCCAGAGTATTGGAAAAAGAGCTCATATGTTTCAAAGATTAACTGTCTCTGTTCAAATGATTTAGGAAAAATGGTCCCACTGTTTGTGGGATGTTTTGAATGTGATTGAGATAATCACACCCATGTCCGTTTTCATATTCTCTTTGATGTGTTTAATAATTGAAAGCAGTTTTTTGTCCATTTATTCAGTAAAGATAAGTTCTTAAATGTTCAGGTATTGTCGTAAAAAACGATACATTTAAATCGCACTCAAATTCTAGAACTTTTGACAGAAATTATTGGACATTGTCTGATAATACAATGTCCAATAATTTCGCATTTGTAACTAATCTATATCTAGATCATTCAAGCCTTTTTCTCACACAACAAAAACCCTTTGTTAGCAAAGCCCTTTATTAGCAATCTTTGTTTCACACCAGTTGAATGTTAAATCAGTTAAATTCAGTTCTGCATATAAACCAACCACCCTCCATTACAGTTATTCATTCTACATTTTGGAGTGATTTTTGATATCATTTTAATGTTTTATAATTATATTATATCTTTCGTTACGCGTTGTTATAATTTGATTTGTTGGTTTAATTACCCAGGTTTGACTTAAAATAAAATATCTGGCAGTTAATACATTCCACGACAGGTATCTTATTTTCTTGTTTTGCTGGAAAAAGGGAGTTGTTGAAGATTTTTGTAGCGAAATTCAAAAATAATCTCGCGAACCTCCACATAATTTACAAATTATATCAAATAAAATTGTATTGATCCATAATACTAAAATTCATTTTAATTAAACATTAGAAATGTAAAACTGTTTCAATTATACATTATATAAGCAATCATTATTCCAACACTCATCTTCCCATAGTATTTGAGTTTATCTGCTTGCCCAGACATTTTCATCTGATAATAAAGGGTATGTGCATTGTTTAATATGTTGCTCCTTTGTTTCGAATGAAATGTACTTGCAATGTCGAAATATTGTTAAGGTCTTCTAAGCTAATAGCCATCCTTTGGGAAACTAAAATATTGAAACCCATCCCTTACTATATAAAGAGCATAGATCATTTGACACTCACTATATATAAGCATTTATATCCTTTGTCTTAATCAGTTTTTTTTATCAGCTTTTCCTTACTAATAAGTTACAATTCGCTCACAAATTCAGTCCATTTCCCCAAATTCAGTCCACAAATTCAGTTCATCAGTTTATCCATCTATACATTTTCATCTTATTCGTAGATACATTCTACGAAATTATCAATATTGTTGCTTTAGATTAATATCTATACAATTGGGGCGTTAGCAAGTAAAATCGTTACAACAGACCTATCATTCAATGCATTCGTCCACACCAACTACAATAACAAACAAGAAAGGTGTTTGAGCGTAAGAAAGTTATATTCGAACTGAACTCCAATTTTCACAATACGTGGGATTTTAAATTCTGTTTTTAAAGGTGAAAAATGAATCATTTATGCAAATACTGTTTAAAGCTTTATTGAAGAGGCTTACAGCTGTATCGTGGATTTCTCAATAAAATTAGTCACAGTTGTATCACATATTTTTCGATAACAAATTGATATTCAACAAACTTTTAATATTAACAAATTTTTGAAAACAAAAAAAACTTTGTTTTTAATTAATTCAAAATTCTACGTTTCTAATCATTATTCATTTGTCATCCCCACTAACTCGATGAAAATAATAAATTCCTTTCTGAATTCAACAATTGTTCACTTGCTATTCCGGAATTTACTTATTTTAATTGAGTTGAAAATTGCAGGAAATGTCAAGATATCGAGCAGTTATTGTAAAATCATTTGGATCATTTGAGCATACTTTCGATCATTTCGAAACCATATTCTTAAAAAAAAATTGCACGGATATACGAATCGAAAACAAGATAAATGATATCAAAAGATTTTAGTAATTTTTGTAGAATTTTTTACTATCACAATAATATTGGATCAAAAGATTTTTATCCGATAGATTATCATAGAATGGAAGATCATCATTTCATTTATTAATACAATATATACATACATATATATATATATATATATATATGTTACTTATCTGGCTCCCAATTTCTTTATATATATATATATATATTCATATAACCAGTTCTAATTGAACATATCTATTGAATGATAGCTATTGAAAAAAAAAATGAATAGTTGTATACTTTTCTAACAGGAAATTTCTACTAACATAGTTATATTCTTTCAATTAATTATTTTTTAATGCATCTTGATTTACTAAATAAGATTTTAAAAAAGAAAGCAGATGTAGATGAAAACAGGCAAAACTGGTAGCAAATATACTAAAATGGTAAAATTTTAAGAAAATCCTAAAGGATGGATGATATATAAATTCAGACACATCATCTAACTGCTAAAAATAATTCATAGTTGTGTTCTCATATAACTTGATTCACTCGATCGTTATTAAACAAAAATCACTGAGCTATTTTTCACTATGGATAGAAAACTAGAAAGGGTTTTATCGTCTACCTTAATGAATACTGAAATGATGTTTAAAACGATTTGAAATTATCATTATTACTCATCAAATGAAGGCCAGCAATGTTAGTTGGTTCATTAATAATGCCAAAGAGAAGCAAAGACTTCGAGTGAAATACACAAATATTCCTTAAATAGAAGAATATTTTACAAAAGTTTTGTCTCAATTATTTTTCTTATTTTTACTTTTCTTTAATATTGCTACCAGATACAAATAAGTATTACTTTCGTCAGGTGTTATCTGCAGGAAATCTTCATTGATTCTTGTGCTTCTGGCAACTGAACATGTTGTCCCATCGGCTTGTTCATTAATTTATTGTGCGCTAATTATCAATCATCTAATTATTAATTTAAAAATTGAGTCAAACTTCTTTAATTTTATGAAAGTAATTAAAAAAATCTTCTTAAGAAATTTTATTAAAAAAGGGAGAAGAAGGAAGTATTCGTTTTACATTATTGGCATATATGATATTTTATTAAAATACCTAATCAAAACATGAAATGCAATGTGATTGAAAATAAAAATTAATAAACTTTCAGTGTTAAAACTAAGAAATGTTAAAACTTTTTGAATGTTTTCATCAATTTATAATTTAAAATGTTCATTTTGGCATTTATAAATAAAAAATTAGTCTAACTGCCAAGTTGCTGAGGGATGAGAGTATTAATAAGCAAAAATTTGTGTATACTAAATGAACTTGATTGTTTTGAGATTTATATCATTTATTATTTTCAGATTAAATTGGATTTGGCAAATATAAAAAAAAGAAAAGAACGTAAATTTACGTATGTAAATTTCGTAAATGTATCTAAGTTTTTTTCTCATTTCATTTTATTTTTTAATTCTCGATTTTTTCTTAAAAAAGTGCTAACCAATCATAAACGATAAAAAACAATTTGCACATGCATTATGATAATATTTGAAAAAATATTTAAATATTATAGTATGGATTTTATTCATTCATGTATTCATTATTTTCCATCAGCTATCAGTGATCAGTTCTTTTTTCCTTTTTTTTTTTGCTTTGATTGATTATACCAAAATATGCTTCAATTGCTAATCATTGGTTATATTATTTATGAGATTATTCGCTTGTCGAATTTACCGGATGCTGGAAGTTATGTCACATCACAACAGTCACAACAGTCAATTCCGGTTTCTTCTTTTAAATTCTGTTTTTACATGTTTTCTTCTTTGAAATTTCGATATGATTATTTAGTTATCTGAAAAGGAAATTTTACATTTTTTGATAATTTTGAAATGGCAAGACTATTAGAATGTGCATTTTTGATAATTTGAAATGAATTCTTGTATGGCAAGAATTTCACTTCTGAAATTCTAAAACCCTAGAATGAATAAAAGTAAAAGACTGTTTTATAAAATACTAGAATAACAAAATTGCTATTTTATAAAACGAAAAGTATAGCAATTAAAAAGTTTTGATTTAGCAAGTTTATTAATCCTTATCAGATGAACTTTATCAAATGCTTTAATGAATAATTAATTTAAATAGTAAAAGAAAAAATTTAATTCGTTACTTCCGATTACTTTATTATCGTTATTTATTCATTCATTTTTTAGCCCGAAAAGAAAGCAAAATAATTGAATATGATGAAAAAGAAAAAAGAAAGAATTGAATATATTCATATATGAATCATAAATTTTATTTTTCTAATGAAAAATTTTAAAGTATATTTTTTTCTAAATATTCAAAAAAAATTTTTTTTAAAAAAAAAAGGAAAAATTTTATGCTCATAAATAAACAAAGTGTTATGAAATAAAACAAATAGCGATATTTGCGTTAAAAAACATCTGTAATTATGTAGTGAAGTAAAAATAAAAGCAAAAAAATTGTTTATCTAGTCATATTTGTTTTCTGATGAGATAACACTTAAACATCTAAATGAAACTAAATGAAATGCGAATTAATTATTATGCGTTTTTATTATGCGAATTAATTATTTATGCAAATTAATTAATTCATCAATTTGCATAAGTAAGCTTTGGCTTATTCATTAATTAGCAACATCTTTTCCTCTCTTTTTCTTTTATTGCTGCTAGTAATTCACTATGATATATATTTTAATAATTAGCACATAATTTTTTGAGGAAAGAGTTTTCATTTTTGATTATATTTCTTATATGATATTGAGAAGTGATGGAAGATAAAATCACATTGGTAAAGCACCAAGAAAATGAAATGACATCAAAAATTAAATTAGTCATATTTACTGAAATAATAAACTTACCCGAAAGCGATAACAACTAAGCTGATTAGGACGGTTTTTGTAGCATTTAAATAATTTACTCCCGGTTCACTCTTGAAACGAATTTCTAGTCGGTAATTCTGATTTTCTGTGAAGTGTTAGGAAGTCAATTTTGAGAGTATTTGCGAGGAATAAAGGAAAGCTAGTAGGGAGAGTGGTCAACAGGATTTGATCGGATTGCGCGAGATATTTTGATTTAACAGGTTAATTGCGAAAAAAGTCACATTATTGTACTGAAGGTATAAATTAACTTATCCTAGATGTCACTCTTTGTGTTTCATATAGAACCATGCCGGTGGTTTCAGTGGTTAAATCTGTGGCTAAAATTGAAGCTGCTTGGAAATTATGATATCAGGAGATTCTCGATGCTCATGCTGGCTGACGAGTACCATCGATTGGGAAGGTTGGTTACTAACTTTTTGCAGCTATTAAGATTTGACATTTCATGAACATTTTAGCAAAATTGTTTGCAAATTCTCACATCGCACTGTATCATCCGTGACACCTATTATGTGTTCCGGTGATTCCCAATTTGGAGTACTTTTCATTAATGGTATTTAATTTGTGTTGTGTTGATATTTCTCATTGCATAATGTATGATAGTTACGTATTGTTATTGCAGGGTTGAAGCGATTCACTACGAAATTCGATAAGTAGCGTATACGATCGTTTTTCAATATTCTCACGTTGATTTTGTGATGTTGTTAAAGAATAATTCATCAAATATAAGTGTTTACGTTTACTGTTATGTGGTATGCGATAAATTGCAAATTAGCATACTCTGACAGGTACGACAGAAAAAATTTCCTTACGTTGTTGAGAAACAACCAAATATAAGTGGTACGCAATCAAATGAGATTTGAGACTAATTTGCTTCGTAAGTTCTTAAAGAATAATTCATTAAATATGCTTATTTATGAGCGTTTATTTTTTATCTGCATATTTAACACATAACACTGCGTCCGAGATATCTCGTTCCGACTTGTGCTTGTATCATGGATGCTCAAGCTTCTTCGCGAGTGTTGTATTGCAGCAGTACCGAGCAAAGTAGATCCCACAGATTATCGTCATATCGATAACTATAGAAGATGAAGATTAGAGGACGGAGAAGATCATACGGTCCAGGCGTCATCAAGGCGCTTGTCTCGCCTCAATGCAGAATAGAATATACGACACGAGCAATAGTACGAGAAGCCATCATTGCTACTTTGATTATTGCTGCATTGTCAAGCTGGTTTCTAAGTTATGCCTTTCAGAGATATCCACGTACATTGCTTAATTCATAGTGTTATGCTCGGTTTACAAATAGTGTAGCCGAACATAGAGTATGTCGTGAAGGGTTTGTTGGTTGATATTCAAATTGTTTGCAGTACAGTAGAAAGATTAATAAGTCTTTATTTTTCGCAAGTAGTATTAATAAACAGAGCAGTAAAAGAAGAGAAGAAACTTATAATAAAGAAGATGGGAGGGATTGATATTGGTTAACAGAGAGTAGTCGACAATAATAACAATGAATAATTTTGTTTATTAGAATTGAATTTATATAAGTGAGGATTGGACGTGTCTAAGACAAAATTATGTGTTAAGAATTGGAAGTGTTTACAAATTTACTTAAAATCACATGAGTAATAAATCTTAAGAAACTAGATTTAAGGAGAGATTGTTTATGATATTATGGGATTGTTTACAATTAAAAAATGATTAATTAGTTTTTATTGGTTTTAAATCTTGAGAAACTAGTTTTATGAGGAGTTAGTTTATAATATTATGAAATTAGTTACAATTGAAAAATGATTAATTAGTTTTTATTAATTTCCCTTCTTATTATTTTAGATAGAAGTTTTCGCGAAATTATAATTCGCGACAGAGTATAGAGGAGATGTAAATTTCGACTAAAAATGACTGCATTTTCAACCTTGTTTACTATCTTGTGGTATTCGTCATCTCTATATGTTTGTGTGATTAAGTTTATCATGGAGAAATCATTTGTTGGAAATTCGTGGTGATTCATTTCTTCAACAACTTGTTCAATATTGTTAGAGATCCAGGTAAGAAAAATCAACATCTGTTTCATACATTTTATCATTCATTTCTCTTCAATTTTAAATAGCAAAGAGAACGAAAACCTTTCATTCTTCCATCTTAATTCGCTCAGTGATATTTATACTTGGTAAACCCAGTATTAATATGTAATATGCATTATATGAAAATATAGATTCCAGGTAAGAAAAGTCAACGGATAAGAATTCATCAACACATAGCGCGAGGTTGTGAACAGGCTGGAAAAAAATCACAGATACCTGAAAGCGATGAGTGCTCTTGTATATATATTAATTATAGTGCGCATGATTTTCATGAATCATGTGCGAGAATAGATGCTACTTTACATAGCAATGTAAGTGTTCGAGATCATGGCGATATCACTGTTGTTATTGATTATCATGATCCTTTCCCCCTTCTACTGGCAGTTAGATCAAGCAAGACCTCGAATGGATGAAACATTCAGGATGATCAGATGGAAAATGAATTTCCACCTACTAAATCTTCACTTATCTCTTGTGCTTAACATGTGTAAGCGCCTTAGGTACGTTTCATGTTATAATGACGAACCATTAATTAGTTTTTTTTTTTTTTTTTTTTAGGCTCCTTATCTTATTGTTTTTTATACTTCTTATTATCTTATTTCGGGCTGCAATGTTTATTTAGGGTTTAAGTTTAAAATCTATCGAGGAGTGTAATAGCTAACAGTTGAGAACTCATCTGATTAAAATTGACCGGTCTAGTATATTTTTCGTTCGAAAGTTCCATTTATTTAGCAATGTAGATTGTATAAGATTTAAAGTGCTTAATCTTTATTTAAAACTTTACTTTACTTAAAGTGCTTAAAAATCAATCATTAAGGTCATTTAAGTCAGGATCTATGCTAGCTGGAGGTGGATATATAAATGAAGCTCACGATAGTAAAACCATATCATTAATTTCCATACTGAAAGATTGCTTGAAAGTCAGCAAAAAATAATTAATTAAATCAAAATTTACGTTTTTTTATAGGTGAATCACATCATTTCTAACATTGTTGGCACTTGATTAAAACTTAATTTAGCAGAATTAGAAATTTTTCAGTTTTAAATTTACAAAAATACTTAAAAATTGTCAAAATTTCCTGCATGAAAAATCTTCATGAATGTATAATGCTCAGACATGTCCTTTGTGGCTGTCTTTAAGACAAATAGTACATTTCTTTAATACCTTGAGACGATTCAGTCGAGCAGTGAGAATAGTGTAGATCTCACGATTACAATCCCAATGATTTCGACTGCAGAATTTACATGGTCTTCTTTTCTTTATTGTAATTTTCGAAATATTTTGATTGCCTTTTATTATTGACAATGCTGAAGCTCCTCCGAGGTTGTATCGTCGTTTATGCTCAGGTTTGGTAGTTGTAGATTTAATATTGATTTGAGTGAGTGAATGTTGGCAGTTTCTATCTGCTCATTATTCACATTAACCAAAAAGTTTCTTAATTTGAGAATTATCCCTTTTCTTTCGTTTATATTTTATTTAATATCCATGATGGTAATTTATTCTCGACCAAAATTTCGATATTCGAATGATCGAGGCTTTCTCCTAACGCCTCTAACTGGCGTAACAGTCGTTCTATATTTTCAATCCATTCTCTTTCATTTCTTTTAATGAATTGTAGTTCATTATATAGTATGATGTCGTTACCATTGAGTAATCGCTATATTTTTCATTTAGCAGTCTTCTTATAACTTGGTATTACATCATATCCAGATATTACTTCTAAAGCTTTTCCTTTGAGGCATGAGTACAAATAATTCAGTTTTTGTATTTCTGGAATTGTTTGTGTGTGGACTGGTGCATTAAAACTGCTCCAAAATTGTCGCAATTGCCTAGGATCTCCATCGAAAATGAGGAAGATTCATATTAATATTCGACGAAGGGATAATTTTCACCTCTTCTTTCGCCAATTCCTTGTCAATTCATTTGAGAGTCGCTTGGTATTTTAGTCAGCTTCGTACTGTATTGTCAGCATTATTATCGCTTCCTTTCCTTCATGCAATAATTGGGATATTTCTTGGTCACCTTCTGTTTTATATTTTTTCTTTATATTTTTCTTCTTCCTCTTCTCTTCTTTTCATTGTGACGGTTTGTTGAGTTATGTGAACCAATTATCATTGATTAATTCGAGCGTAGTTGCGCATAAATGAATTCTTTAGAGTTTATCTTCGAGTAATGTTTTTCTTATTATATAAAAATCTTCCTTTTCTTCTAGAGTCATACCTGATTTCGGAGATTTGATCTCTATTAAATTTATTTCTTTAAGAAGATTGACTAACGTTTCTTTTGCAATAATGTTGCTAGAAATGACTCTCGACTCGTGGCACCAAAATCATTGGTTGAGGATACACAAGGATTGTTTATTTCAATTGTAGAGTAAGTCGTTGTTTATTTTTAAAATTGCTTACTTTCGTAAAATTAAAGATAATTGGATCAGATACTCGAATATTTATGATACAGCAGTGAGATTAACGTATCTTTCTTCTTGAAAAGTATAATGTATACTACCAACAGAAATGAAAAGTATAATACCAATAATCTGAGCAGAAAAATTAGATTTAAAAAAAAATAAAAAAAAATTAGATTTTTTTAAGATTTTTTTTTTTTTTTTTTCAAGGGGAAAGGAGTTGAATTTTGATTATGACGGTTATAGTCGTTAACAAACCATCTTGTTCAATACTGTTGTATTAATATGTGTAAAACCTACGATAAGATTAATGAGACAAGAATATGAGATGTTTATATTAAGATAACGGCTTAAGCATGCATGGGTAGATTACATGTATGAATGGGAGTTAATTTTACAATAAACATAAAATCACATGGGTAATAAATCGTAAGCAGTCAAATTTATGGAGAGGTGATTTATAATACCACAAGATTCTTTACAATTTAAAAAATGATTTATTATCTTTATTAGTTTTTCTATATATTAACATTATTATTTTGGTTAGAGTTTTCGCGAAATTATAATTCGCGACACATCTCCGTAATTGTACTTGTTTGCGACATTATTATCTTAATCCTGGTTAGTTGAACATTTCTCCACTTTATGGATTTCTTCTTTTGCTGGATTCCTATTTGGATGTGTTTTTCCTTCTTATATGATGTGTATTTTTTTTTTTTTTTTTTTTTTATCGCATGTGTCGAGAATTTTTTGTCACATAGAGCACTATTGTGAGAAGCTTTGCAGTAGAAACGTCTTACTTTTTGCTGCATTCTTTGCCTTGATTTCATGCAAATAGTGCATTTCTTTATTTCTTTGAGACGTTTCAGTCGAGTATCCACTGACGAATACGTTTGACATTCACTGTCCCAGTGGGTTCACTACAAAATATGCACGGTCTTCTTTTTTTAATTTCACTATTTTTTATCGAGGAGTGAGAAATCTCACTTTCATTTTGTATAGTCGTCAATATAGAAGTTTCATTATGATTTTTGAATTCTCCTTCTTATATGAGGTGTATTTTCTTTCCGTAAGAGTAAATGAGAACTGATTTCTTACTTGCTCGTTCATATTGATTACGTTTGAAGGAATTTCCTTAATTTCATTGTTGACCATTGGCTTTTGATCATTTTTTGTCGAGTATCCATCGAGGTAGTCTACTCTCGATTGTGTTTTAAATGCTGTAATGTTTTGAGTTCTCTCCTAGCATTTCTAACTGTCAGAAAATTCTTCCCATCTTTTCAATAGTTTCGATCCATTCCTTATCGTTTTGTTGGATTGATTGTGGTTCACTGTACATTTCACTGTAATTTCATTATTGTCATCATACTTTTTGGTCAATATTTGGCGCACAATTTCATAATTTTCTGGGGCAACATCAAAGCCTCTTACTGAATGTAGTGCTGTACCTTTTAAGCAAGAAATTAAATAATTCATTTTTTGGATTTACGGGATATCCTGGGAATATACATTTGAACCCATTCCAAAACTCTCTCCATTGTCGGGGTTCTCCATCGGAAGTGGATAAAGATAGTTGTGGGAGGTTAATGTTTTTCCATCGGGTTCTCCATCGAAAATGGAGCTGTGAACGATAGGATGTTAGCTTTGTCGATTCCGTTATTGGCGGTTTAGTTTGATTTCATTATTAATTTCCCTTTTGTACATAGTCAACAGTCTCCTTTGCTTCGTGCTTTAAAATGAAGATATTTTATTTACTATTTGTGCTTAGCTTTACTCATCTTCCTTTTTTGTTTTGGATTTTTGGACACATTCTTCCACTACTTATTTAAAGCCTCGATAGAGTTAATGTACATTTGCAGTCGAAGAATTTTTTCATCTATGAATCGATCTTTGGTTTTGTTAGTTTGGAGTTCTTCGTGATTCGGTAAGATTGGATCTGGAGATTGGATATTCATAGTTTTTACCTCATTCAATAATCTTTCTAGACGGTTTTTTACAGGTTTGATGCTTTCAATCAAAAGTCATTGTAATTCGTGGCACCAAAATTTTTTGTCATGAATTTGAATCAACTTTTTGGTCAGAAAAGTAGATGATTTAGGTTAGTTAAATTTATTTGAGTTATTTTAAGTTTGTAGGACTTAACTGAATATTTGTTTCTTATCTGCAAGCGAGATGGACTAATATATGGTTTATTTTCTTTATAAATGTGATTCAATACAACAAATATATAATCGGATAATTGAAACAGCGAAGGAATAAATGGTACTGTTGAGTAGGAAAATGAGAAGATTGCCACCGATCCTTTTTTATTAACTTATTAGAAAAGATTTTTAAGGATGTAGAAAGTGAGCTGGCTTATCAGATTAACATTTACAATGGAGAACAATGAAGACAGATATACATTTACTATTTGAGATTTAGATAAAGAATTCATTGTTTCAAAAAATGGAGTATAATAAAGGAATAACGAATTGGTTTATAGTAGTGAATCATTAGCATTATTTTAAACACTTAGTATACAATAAAAATTTTTTTTTGGTTTTTCGACAGTTATTGAGGTAACTGAATCAAACTGAGTCAGTTTGATTGGTGAAGATCAGGTGAGCTATCTTAAACCCATATATTATAACTTAGGAACGCCATATGCATACTTATTCATTAGCTGTCACTTATAGAATAACCGTAATGGCATGAAGAATATGTGAGTACTTATTTCATTTTGTATAGAAGAAAGATATTTTAGATCAAACCGAATTTTGCTCGTTTTACTGGATATTCGAAGATGATACAGCAGTGTGTAACGTTGTTGCGATGATCTTTGGTACTGATTATTCGTTTCAATTTCCAATTGTTGAAGATGGTAATATTATACCTGTTACTGATAATAAAGTTGATCTATATCTGCATATATTTCCACCACAATTATTACCAATGGTTTGTTTTTTTCTTTTAATTTAAAAATTTGGTATTTTCAATATCAATTTTTTTTCCTTTCATGAATCATATTTTTTCCCTTATTCTTGCATCTTTCATCATTTTCCTCGAGCACAGCTATTTATATTTGCAGAATATTTTGGCTGCAATAGGTCTTATCTAATGGGTTGGATCTATAAGGCCTGTTTCTGAAATGCAATCTCGATTTTACTGTGAAGTATTTGCTGGCCATTGCAAGTTACGCGTAATCGTAATATCAAAACGGATGTTAAGAGAAGAAGGAAAAAGAAAAAGAGAGATTTCTGAAAAGTCAACGACATATTTTAGTGGTTTATCATGATCATATCACATAAAAAACTCACAAAATAAAGCAAAATATTATTTTTATTCACTTAAGATAGATTATGTAACCCATATGGATGAACTGGCGAAGATGGTTAGTGTGAAACCGAATTTGATGAAACACTGGTTCACTGATCCTTGTTATATATTGTTATTTGAAGGCTTGCACCATAATAGTTTAGATTAAATGTTAATTTTAGTTTCAATAAACTGGAGAATATGCAGTTTGCAAAATTACAAAAGTAAAACTAATTAGATATGTTTTTGTCACTAATATGATCAGTTTTATGCTCTTATGGAAAACTTGTGCTTTTTTCATGAATTTCTTCTAAAATTTGACTCTAATTACCTTTTCGGAATCAGTAAAATGGTCTTGTCACGCTTTCCAATATTCTGCTTCGATAGCAGTACCTTCTGCAAACATTGTTGTATATATAACTTTAAAAAAAACTTTTGACTTATGCAGTAGAATCTTTCTGCTATAACTCTGACCACTGACTTTTTAATTATTGATTTGATCATTTTACTTTTTGTGAACTGGAAATAATTTGTAGTCTTCTTTTAGGACCCATATGCATGGGTTAAAGCGTGATGCATTGTTAGGTATGGCGAGAGAGAGAGAGAGTGTCTATATATATATGCATATAGACACACATGACAAACTACTGAGGCAATAAAATCAAAACTGATTAACAAGTTTTTATATTATCTTAACATGATGAAATTTTAATATATTTATATATTTTGAATAAAGCAGTTAATTTCGCATATTTCGAGATTCATCCTATTTTAATTCGATATTTCTATTATCGCAATATGGAAACCGGTAAAATTTTGGATGGTCTTGAAGTTCATTCTTGAACATCAAGCTAACAAATTATTTGACAATATAACTTCTTTACATTTATCGCTGAGCTAAATTCCAGCATTTATTTATAAAAACGCTTTTTGATGTACCGTCAATCAGTTCAACCAGTAGATAGAAGGGTACTATCATCAGTTTAATTACCAGATCTGTTATTAAACAATTTTTCTTTTCAGTCTGATAGAAGTAGTCTACAAAAAGATACTGTCAATCACTTATCAGTTGAAAATTAGTTATTAACTGGATGATTAATTTTAATTAATTTGGTCATCTTATACTGAAAATTCTTAGTGTTGAGCATTATCTCTTGAGATATATAATAATAGGATAGCGTATTTTTTGAAAATTTTTATTCAAAAATTATTTTAGTTCCGCACAATACTTATTAGATTAATCTGTTATCATAATATTTAACATTGGCATCTGAATTCTTATTATTATTATGACTAAAAAATTTTATCAATATTACATTTAGCAGTTATTACATTCAGTTAAGCAGTGCAGTCTCTGTGATGCTACCAATGCCACTGCTATTCCAATTTTTGATCTATATATAATGATATCATCAATTAAATTCGAAGTTTTTGGAGATCAATAAATACTTTTACTTCAATATTCACTATAGATCTAGTTTATTGAAATTTATATATACAAAATGTTAAAGCGTACAGACTGTTGAGGCATATGATAGAAGATATATCTAATGTTAAAATTTCAGGAAAATACTTTCAAACTTATTCAAAAGCAAAAATTAGAGCTAAAAAACGATACCTTACTGACTTCTCGCACCAAATATCGTGGTCGAGGATCAGATGCCCCGTTTTCCTCAATGTTATTAAGCATGCTGATTGTAGCAACCAAATCAATCTGATGACCGTTATGTAAATCTGATATATCATGCGCACCTTTTTCTAATATGATGCTAAAATATTGCTATTTTAGAATACTTGCTACAGTCACCATGTAGTGATTACAGTTTTATCACTCAAAAATTTAAATATCACCTAGAATTGTGTCAACTGCGCTGAATTCGACTATTACTAGTGCATGTTGGTGGAGTAAGGCTTTCACATTCGCCAGCACTTTTCTTGCACAACTCAACGACACACTGATAATTCAGAACTGAAGTATCACTGAACTTATATCCCCACCTTTCCACCACTGTCTATAATTCAGCATCTAAAATTTGTTCTCAATAATTAATTGTTAAAAACACTGGAATGCAGCTCCTGAAGTTCATTTGCATTTTTCAATATTTTTCACTTGTATTTTTTTTTCACATTCTAAAATTTCATGTCAGCTTTGACTACTAATTTGTAAAAAAGGATTTAAAATTGTTGTTCATTGTATAAAGGAGAAAAATATATTTTGTCAATAATGTTATGATGAATTAGAACTATATAAAAAGCATGCGGACTAAACCTATAAACATGGTAAAATTTTTTTTCAACAAAATAGTTTTGATCCCATTTTACAATAATGTAATTTGTTATATTTTAAGAGTAAGGACCTTAAAATTGAACAAATTTCTGTTCAACTATCACTCCTTCGCATCAAAAGATTTAAGAAAATTATGTTATATTGGTTCCCTTTTTATAATTTATAAAAACATAGAAATACTTCACTTTTTTCAAATCTCCATCATATTTCACATCAGGTTGAATAATTGGATCAATAGCGCATCTATCCAAATCAAGCTGAAACAATTAAAAATTTCAATTTATTAACAACTTGTTAAATATTAAATAGTTCAAAATAAAAATAGTCAGGTACCAAGTCATATCGCCTTCCTCGTCCATCGTTAACGAAGCATGAATGTACCAAAAAGCCTTGTGTGTCACCGTCATACTTCCAAACATGATAAATTGACTTGGTCGTAACTGTAATGTATTATTTAAATTGTTTAGATTTGATTCTTTTTAAAGAAGTTGTAAACGTCTAAACTTGATTAGAAATGTTTAATAACAATTTATTTTCAAAATATTTTAGAATGATCAAATCGTTTTCTCCAAAACATTCAATTCATAAAACCACCGGTTTGATAACAATAAATCAAATTGGTGAATTGGCACAAACAAGTAACCAGTAGGACACTACTAGGCGAGAAAAGTTTATTATAAAAGTAGGTTATTTCAATAAGTTATTTCAACTCTGAAAAAATTTCATTAGTATGAGCTAATTACAATTCTGAAAAAATTTTACACAGCTACTGGTCCATCTACGCTTTCAGCATGAATGCTATATGTGCAAGTAGGCATTTGTACCGCATCCATCAATTCAGTAATGCCAATTGATGACATATCCACATCTGATGTTAACCGTTTGATATTTCGGGAAAAACACATGCAACGATAGACACGATCAGCCCGCGTTACAACGATTGTAAGAAAGAACATAATACCCTAAAATTATGTAATACAGTTAAATTCTTATATGGAAGTCTTAAAATGTTTTGTGAAAGAAATTTTGTGCTGCATTATTCGCCAATATACATTGCTAGATAAAATGAAATCAAAGTAGCAGACATAATTATCGAAGCTTCTTAAAGTTACCTCCAAAGAACTAGTAACTCGCTGCCGTTGTTGCATGGTGCAATCACCATTTTGAATCAGCATTGAAAATTTATTCTGATCGAATTTGATGCAAAATTCCTGGAGCATCGGTCATCATCAGCTAGCCCACGTATATACATACGTCCGGTAAATGGTTTTCTGGTTCTGAATGTTAACGATACCATGGTATCCTCACAACCTACCTGAATATAAAAGAGGTATACATGAATTACATAGCATAGGTCATGTCATAATGACAGGATCTGCTCAATTCTAGGTAAATCCATTGTTACCAGAATAATAACGATAGCAAGTGAAGTAAATAGTTCGACTCTCTTATAGCTTTAACTGCTTTAACTATAGTTGCTTTGCTAGCAATAGGGGATACGAATGATTGAATATAATGTCAATTAATTTTGATAATTAAACAGAAAGTATCTAAAAAAAAAAACATTTAACTGATATTCAACTGACATTTATAAACAATATTCAAATTTGTCCATCAGTTTCATCATTTTTTGATGTTAACTAACATTGTTCATCACAATACATTAAAGTAATAGCTAAGAAGCTTTACACTGTTCAAAAAAGGATTAAATGCCCATGCTTTATAATGCATCAACGGTTAAAAAGTTTTAGGATTTGTTTTGCGATAATCGATCGATTGGTGTATTTCAGTAAATAAAATTTGTTTAATAGAAACGATATTATATTGACAATACATAATAAAAAAAGAAAGCTAGTAGGAAAAGCTCACCACTGGACTTCCTATCAATTCGTTATCAATTATAGCAGTTAATATAACATTCATGAGATTATATATCAGAAATAAATTGATGATATGACGGACTTTCGAAATTTGCATAATTTTGAGCATCTATTGTTTAAAACAATTCACATATAACTCAACTATCCCAACGAGGCATATATAATGATAGCTGGGCTATCAATTAGGCTCTAGCCTTATTGAGAGAGAGATATGATGCTAGGGCGCACTAAACAGCACCACTTTTTGATAGGATCAATTAATTAATATGTACATATATTAAGTCTATAAATATTTATTTACATTGTATACTATATCAATCATAAACGAATTTGATAGAATTTAGCATTCAATTTCAGGTATTTTGTCACTTTTATAATATGTAACTAAAGATCTCAGACTTTTCTAACACATTATTTGTATTTGAGTAAAAATATAGCTTTATACTCGAAATTTCACATTTTGATGTAACCTTTTATCAAATAAATAATAATCAAATCTTAACACTTGTCTTTCCTCATTAAACCTTTATATAACTTCAGCATTTCCTCCTTACTTCGTTTCCTTTAATTCTAAAAGAAGAAGAAAACACTTTTTTAAGCAAATAGTCAAATGTCCCATTAGTACTTCCCATTAGTTTTGATAATTTTATTGTATTTATAGTGCAGCAAAAGTTGAGGAAAATATTAAATGTCTTTGAAAAGTCATATTCTTACCGAGGAATAGTATGAAGAAATGTCAGTGAAATGTCAATCGTCCTGATTGCGCTCTTTCTTCTTGCTGTATCAAAGAATCTTCTTACCACCTGGCATCTCATTTGCATTAATGAATCTTCTGGGTAAATCGTCACTTCTAATGTTGATTTATGTTCAAACTCCGTGAATTCTGATAATTTTGCTTTGCCTACATATGACATAAAAGATATTTATCACTGATAAGCAAATGATATCGCAGTAATGCTTCTGGTTCCAATATTTATTGAACATTTGGAGTGCAAAAAAAGTAAAAGCTGAAGTGAATTCTTCTACTACGCTCATTCCAATGCAGTGTATTAAGGGAACACTGTTCTTCATAAAAGGACATTGAGAATATCTATCATTTGTTTGTTCCAGCTTGAATGAGAAAAGAATATGCTTTGATCTCAACAAAGGTCGCTTTGTTGATCCGAAAATTGGCCGAAATTCGATTTATGATATGGAAGTCAGCCTTAAACAACAAGAAATCTCACTAGGCCGAACTCGGAGAAAACGTACTTTTTTTGCAATTCGTAATTCTTAGTCAATGATTTGCAAGTTTCATTATTGTGATTCTATAAATAATTACTAGTCAGTAAATTATTACGATAAAAAATTTTTTTCTTTTGAAAGGACAGTTTGAAAAAAGTAAACTGAAGAAAAGTTCCGTCCATTTTCACTTGAGCTGAGAGAAAATTGATAAAAATCTTTCTTTTCGTGCTTGTTTTGCAAGAAGAAAATAAATGTCTAAAATATGCTGCATTCGTTTTCTGAAAAAAAAGTCATTGCTAATTGCACTACTCATTTCTCTTTTTTTTCGAAATTTAAACTGAAATTTATCAAAACAATTTCAAAAAATCTTTTATTCCTGTAATGTGATTTTTGCTAAATAAAAGTTCAATGCATATAGATTCGATTTTTTAAAATCTATTTTTGATGTCTCTTCCAAAAGAAAAATCTTTGTTGCACTTTTTCTATTATTTCCCACAAGGCATGCAGTATAGAATGCAATTGAGCAGAATGCAAGTCATTGAAAAAGATATATTTTATATTTTCAACTAAAAATTTATTTTATATGTATATTAATTATAGCACGAGCATGCCATGGCTATAATTTTTATCGCCGCTGCCAAAAGAAGTATGCAACACATTTAGGAAGGTTGGAGTGTCGATACGCTAGATGTTCCGTTTGCATTACGGAACACTTACATCCTGGTTGCCCCTTCTGTCACGCCGGTAATTAGTATTCATCTTATAGCCTTTTCCTATATATGCAAGAAATGAAAGTAATAAAAAATTTAAACTTAGGGATTACCTGGTTTTGTTAAAATCTCGATTTAAATTAATTCTCAAAATTTTCTTTCAATTAAATTTAAATTTCAAAATTTGGAATAATTTTTGTTGCAGAATCAATATTTTGCGCAGCAATCGAAACATGCTCTTGTCCTCAGAGAGCTGGCTATGGTATCTGGGATTCCTGTAGGACGCAGCTCAATAGTCGATACTATGGTATTTCAAAATCATTATAATTTCTATTAGATATCTAATTTTAGACTTTTCTATTTTAAATGTTTAATGTAAACTGAAAAATGGCTAAATAATTACTAGTGAATTCCTTCTTTCCCTTTCACTCACTCACAAAGTGATATTTGAAATTGAAAATTCGATACTTTTGAATTTCATCACTGGAAACCTTTCCATTTCCAGAAAAGGAAAATAAAAATAGTTTGTAGATATTAACGCAACGAAACCAAAAAAGAGCAAAAGAGACATCAGAAAAAGAATCGCTTTAATTGATATATACATTGAAGAATTTCAATTACTTCAGTTATAATCTATTCCGAATCTCTCATAATTTTTTTTTAAGGAATGCTTTGGAGAATTCTTTTTATCCGAAAGAATGAGAAAAGTATTTTCTACTGATTTATTCGCAAATTTTTCAAAAAATCCAAAAGAGATTTTTTTTTTGATTTCTGATAAAAACATTTTTACACTTCAATCTGCATAAACTTAAAATGCAAATTTTTTGCTTGAGGCGATTTAATAAATGATATATATGCTGTTAATTTATATGACAACATAGAACAAAGGGTCGTAATACCATTGACACAATGTATGATTTATCAACTTCGACACTGTGGGATACGAATGTACGGGATGGAAGGAAAGGTATATCGAGATTCAAATACTTTCAGCATAAACTGGAAATGGATTAAAATTTGTTCCCAAAATTTAGCAAAAACTTCAATTCTTTACATGCTTTCTAAAGTTGCTAAACTTTCGGGTGAAAATTTCAGAATTTTTGCAGAATTTAATCTTTTCATTATTATCAATTATCACTAATATTCACACCTTATGTAACCTACTGATAAACTTTCAACTGGCTTATTTGCTGAATTAATTATTTACATCTTTGGATCTAAACACGTTTGATGTAAAGTGAAAATTGCTGCTTATCAGCTAATTTTATTACTTATTACAAGAATACCAAGGTATTCTTTGAACACAGTTGTAATTCAGGATTATATTGGTTGGCTAGACAATTGGAAAATTTTTGATTGGGGCATTTCTTTCCAAGTGAAATTATCTTATGAGGGAGTTCAATACTGATATAAGACGGAAACTTTAGAGAACAACTGTGGAAAATTTTCCGTATCTGGAATTCGATCATGTTTGAATAAAGCTGTCAATGGACAAAGAGCTGTTCAGGATTATATTAGTCGGTTGGGCAACTGGGGTTTTTTTGAGTGGACCATTTCTTTCCAGGTAGAACTACTTTTTAAAAGACAAAAGAAAGAGAAGTGATGCTATTAACGGTGTGTATTTCAATAAAGCACTTTGAGAAATGCTGTATGTGAATATCCGATTTATGGCTGCCTGTAGCTCCAGCTCTATTCTTATTAGCAATTTCAGGCTCTTATTATTATATTTAATATATTAAGTGCATTGGCAATGAGTATTGTTGAATATTTGAATCCTTGGCCTATGCTACTTATGGCTATATTATTATTCATTCCTATTTTTCCAACATTGTGCTCTAATCAGCACGAAGGCAAGCAAATAGATAATAGTTATCAAATTGTAAAATTTCAAGCATAAAGAAATGATTTAAAATAGGCTGGAACAATTTTGAACTGTTCTAGAAATTTGTTCTAGAAAATTTGAAATTTTTTGGTTGGACACAATTAACCTGTGGCTTCATTGAATTGTTTTGGTCCAGCTGTGTATTGCTTGACATGCATTATCACTCTAACGATTGGCGTGCATACTTTACCATGTTTACCGTATCTTGGCAGGTTTGAAATAAGCTTCTTACAAAAAGTGAATCTTTCGAATCATTGCAGTAACATTTTTTCTTATTTCGACCTTCATATTCAATAAGTTTGATGTTTAGCAGTGCTAGCCATATTTCTTAAGATGATTACTTTTCTTGTCTTGCAATAGTATTTTTATAACTGATCTGAGTCAAAATTTGAAAAAACATTTAAAAATTGCGCAAAGAATTAATTGGCATTTCATTTCATTTGATATTAAGGTAAAGAAAATGTTCTTCAGTTCATATCAATAATTCTAATATCAGTGAAATGTCCATTACTAGAAAGAATAATAAATGGTCAACGAAACCAAATAAATGCTGAAAATAGCACTGCCACTGAACCTTGTAAGTTTGTTAGAAAATAGCATTTGATTTTGATTTAAAGTACGAAATAAATGGCCACAGGAATAATCAGTTTAATTTTTTGTTTATTAACACAAATAATTAGTATCATATAAAATTGTCAAATTGAAGGAAAATGTGAATTAAATGAATGAAACGCTTGAAATTAAATGATTTTGCAGCAAGTTGTAATGTTGATTTGCGTATAGCAAAACTTCATACAATTTTAAATTTTGAAAAGCAACGGTCAGATGAAAGAAAAAAACGACGAAAAGAAAGGTAACGAAAAAGATTTTGATTATGAAAACTGAAAAAAAAATTACATAATGTTGAGGACAATTTTTATGAAAATTTGAATGAATCAGTTTTGTTATTAAAACAAATAAATGACGCCTCTTTTTCAGGTTGAAAAGAGAGGAATGCGTTAAAGATCCTAAAGAATTTCCTAATAACTTAACACAATGTAATTTGATCTCGAAAAGGAAAAAATTTTGCTTTAAATAATTGATAATAATAATAACTGGAAATTTCACGAAATTGCTAATCACAGAAATTAATTGTTGTACAAAATTAATTAGTATTAATTAGTCCTATTTTAAAGATGAGTAGATTATTTATAAAATTAGCGATCAAAGATAGTTTCAGCGGAAGAAATTGACTCGCGAACTGCAAAGGACGTTTCTGGAACTGTTAATAAAATATCGGATCTGAAAGCTACCAAAGAGCAAAATGATAAAGTATCGTTACTTAGTTCTAGAATTTTTAGTTAAAAAACAAAGCTCCAATTGCAGATCTGAAATTCGAAAATATTTAAAATAATTCTATCTAACTAATTCTGGAATAATTCATTCAGTGACAATAATTACAGCAAAAAGAAAGTGAGGGCAGAAAAAGATGAAGTGACAATATTAATTTTGAAAAGTTCAATTTCAATCAATAAAAGAATTAGATAGATATACATAATTAAGCCAAGGTTTTAGAGTTTGGCTGATATTATAGAAGATCATCGTGCTAACAAACAATTGGGCTGACATCATCATAATCAGTATTATCTCATACACGCAAACAATCTTGGCCATGTAGTGACTGTGGTTAAAATCTCAATTTCTTCTTAATCTTAATATTTAATTCTTGTATTCGAAACTAAAAAGACGATCTTAAGGCAAGTGATGGAAATGGAAAAGTTTTATTGACGCTCCAATTCGCGATTTTTCTTCACCAAAGTTTTGTATGCCACAAACTACCAACAAACGGTATTTTAAATAAAAAATATTCATTTTGGAACATAAATGTTTCAACATGAGTTAAATTCAACAAATTTCATTCTGCAAAAAAGGATAATCTGACAAATTACATGAAGCATTCAGTAATCAAAGAACAGAACAACTATCAGTAAATGGATTTACCTGTATTATGAGCTCCTGAAAGCCATTAGCACATTTAATGCATCGTAGACACGACGTCGAATGTTTTTCATATCATATTGCTGTTTTTCCTAAACAAAAAAAAAAAAAAAAAAAAAATCCTTATATAATTAAGAAGAAACAAAATATTTGTTAAGCGAATTAAAATTCTTAAACTATGATAACCTTTTCTTCTGTTTACAGTTACTTATTCTCTATTAACCTTTATTTAAATTTTATAATTTTTATTTAAAAAATTTTCATTTAAATTTTTGATTAACTCTTTACTAATTTAGACTTCCTTTCATTTTTTCCACATAGGCTTACAGCTTACTCATTTCCAAAACCATAATTTTAAAATTTTAATCTAAAAAGAAATTTCTTAAATTCAATATTTTAATCCTTTCTTTTCTATTTAAAATTTCTTTCTATTTTAATTATTTAATTCTTTCTTTCTATTTTAATTCTTATTAAAATTTGAGTTAAATTACTCAAAGATGAGACACCGCACTTTCACCTTTTCACTAAAATCTGCAAATTTGACTTCCCAAAAAAACTGGTTTCAGATAAAAACACACTGTATCTGTAGGCTGAATATCGGCCGAATCGAAATATTCAGAAACAAGTTCAACAGCTACCTAAGATAAAATAATAATTGACATAAAAAAAAATTATTATCAATAATACCATTTGATGAGTAATATAGTCAATAATTTTAAGTCTTATATCATGTTTTAGAATATAGAGAGAACTTTCTTACAATAGTTACAGAAGCAGATAGATAAATCAGCAGGAAGGCATCTCTTAAAAAATGCGTTCAAACCAATCGAAGTTAAATAAAAAGAAAAAATAATAACGCGTGCTTCATTACAATTCGTATGTCCTTTTTCCTTCATTTTCATTTTCTCACAAACTTTGGTACTGAAGTGTCTCAAGCCTTTCGATTTATCAATACTGCGAGGAAATTTCCGTATTAATTGAAGATCGCACGCATAATTATTTGATAAAGATCGTTTTGCTTGGTGTACAGACGAATTATCAGCAGGATGTGTGCCTATACGAATAACCGATATATACCGATTCGGAACTACCGTGAAAACTGATATAGGTGGACCTGCTGATGGAAGCATCGAAAATCTTCGTGTAGCTCCGGCTCCCTGAAATACATATATGAATAAGAGGGTATCTAAATTTATTTTATGAGAGTTGAACAAAATATTCTATGAGAAGACTTCATGCAATATTTCAATAAATGCCTTCTATGATTCACTAGAGAATATCAGTAATTTCCAATTAATATTCACTAGTTACGTATTTGCTCAACTGTATTAAACTTACAACATAAGTATTCTGACCAGATGATGTGACAGCTCTGCGTGCTAAGTGAGTTATAAGCTGTGATGTTGTGTTACTCGTTTCACGTTCATCCATTACTCTTAAAATAGTAGATAGAACCAATCCTTAAATACACACAAGAAAAGACCGCTCAAAAATCTGACATACCGACAAATAATGAGAACTGTGAAGGTAAATGTATCAACCAAATAAGGCTGGAAAAAATGAAACTAGAAAAAAATGATGATACATGGCAACACGTTCAAGACAGAATAGCTACCAATAACTTGTTGCTGTTCGACGAAATATTTTCTAAAGTTACAATTGATTTCTAAAAGTCCCAACCTGTTCTTGAAATAACTAGAACTATTTTTTCCTAACGAAACTGTCGAGAAATAACAGCTGAAGTTGGAAGTATTTAGAACAATAGAACTGAAAGAAAAAAAAACAAAAAAAACACAATCATATTAACAAACATGTCCTAAACACTGTTATCGACATACTTAACATCTACTTTCACTAACATTTAGTACGAAACAGGAAAAAAGTCTAAAAATGATAATCAATGATAACTATTAGTGCCGAATGACAATACGATTTCCCGAAAAATAATTACCGCTTACTACATTAACTGATCTTATATCTCCAATTTTCAAATCAGGTAGGATTAAGGAATTAGAACAGAAGTATAACACATTCCGGTAAACAACACAGTTAACATACAGTGATACTGGTGAAAAGCAATGTCAATAGTGATAATAGTAATAAGAGTAATGATAATAACAATAACAAATAATGAATCGGATAAATAAATAAATAATACATTGATTAAATAAATAAAACAGATAAAGAAATAAATAACACATCAATTCATAGATAAATAAGTAAATGAACAATAATAATAAATCGGATAAATAAAAGAATATATAAATAAATGAAGGAAATAGAAGACAAATAAATAATAAATGCATAAAATAAAATAAGCAATAATACTGATCTCCACAAAAATACCGATAATAAGAATGATAACGACATCGACAGAAAACAATAATGACAAAATGAAAGGCCCAGAAAAGAAAATGCAATAAAGATACAAAATAGTAGACGGAAATAAAAAAGCTTTATTAAGTGAGTAACAAGCTACTGAAATTTGGTGTTTGCTAAGCACGCAAAAACCTCTAATATATAAAGTGGGAAGCTGAAAAGAGCGAGATGAAAGACAGACAATAGCATGTCTACTCCCGATTGGATTCGCTTACATACGCAGCAAAGTTCAAATAATAATTCCTGTAAGACTTGTGTGGCAATAGTTGCATAATCCGATTTATTCTAGCTATCAAGAGCTCCGGAACGAGAAGTGTGTACTTCGTAAATTGAAACAATATATTAGAGCCTCGAGATTTTCACTTAATGTGCCTTACGAGTTACACCTTCGCTTATGTCAAAACATCCTCAGATTGTTCACTTCACTTTCTTCCGAGAATTTCCATCTTCAAATTACTTGATATTGATCGTTGTTGTCAGTTATCAATTCGACAACTGATAACAACGATCAATATAAATATTAGAGGATGGCAATCATTGCGTCATTTTCAATATTTTACACATCTCGAGAGGCAGCTTCTCTAGCTCCATGTATTACTAATCACATTTCGCTGTCGCATAACTATCGCATAACTCATCCATTCTTCCCATCCTTAAAGTTAGTCTTTTCACATCATTTTTCAAACATCATTTTCCAACATTTTCTCTAGGCATTTCATATCAGCATTAAACGATCCAAATTATTACCATCTTCCCATCTTTTTATATAAAAAAGCTTCCAGTTTTTTGAAAAAGTGATATTAAATTTTGCTAAAGGTAAGAGAGAAATTCCGAGAGTAAAAAGAAAGAAAGTAAAACCTAAAATTCTTGAAGAAAATAAAAATAAAACAGATTTTGACGATTTATTCATTAACTTTGGAAAAACTTTTTAAAAAATAAAGATAAATAATATTCACTTATAGTGAAAAGAAAAAACTGTTGACAGAATTTTCAGTTTAAAAAAGAAGAAAAGGAAAATGGAAGATCAGTTAGAAAGAGAGAATTCACCAGAAGCATTCGATGCTGAGGACGGAGGTGGAAGCTCAAGTACTGAAACAAACAGTGCAACATTGGAACGTTTACGAGAAATTTTGGAGCATCGCGAATCGACTATTGAAGATTTGCGCCAAACAGTAGCAATACTAAAACATAATATTGAGGAACAACGTGATGAAATTATACGCTTAAAAAGTTTAAACAGTAATATTCATAAGCCGGTGAGTTCATGTCTTCAGGTTTTATGGAAATGGAAATAATAATTTGTTATCAATAATGTGCTGTTTCATGATAATATCTCTTATTTTTTATTTTCTGATATTACCTGCAGCAAAATTCATCGATCTCATTACCGTTTGAACTTATCAAGATGATCTTTTATCTATGTGATGCCCTTACACGATGTCGCATTTGTTGCATTAATAAACGGTTTTTTTTTTTTTAAATGAATCTTTGGAATAATAATTAGACAAATTATTGTTACTCAGCAAAAAATGAATCAATTAGTTGATATCAAAGTGAATTTTAAAAGAATTAAATTAGCAAATCTAAGAACAAATTTTGCAAATGAATTAAGCATGATTAGCAAATGTAAGTTTTAAAAAGTGCCAGCTAATGCATATTGCTAAATAAACTTTATGAATTAAATATTAAGTATATAATTTCTTGAAAAAATTTAGATTGGCTACAGAATTGAGCAGCTGGGTCGACGTTCAGCACCTTTACTTAACAAGAGTACCGATTGAAGATGAAGCAAATAAAACCGTTAGAATCATTCTATTCTTCTATTCTCATGAGCACAAATGTATTTTATGAAATTCGTTCATAAATGTCCAAGAGAAAACATTTTAGGTTGTGATACATGCCTATCAAGCTGTTACCAATTCTCCTGCAGTAGGCGTAATTCGTACCACTAAAGCTATTCCAATGCTCTATAATTTCCGGTCATTTCCTGCGCTTTATAAGAAAATACATTTATTGCTTTATCCTAGGATTTTAATTCTAATTTTAACATGTCTTGATTTAAGAATTCTTTCACTAAAATATATGGAAATATGTTAATATTTATATACATTTTAATATGAAATCAGTAATTGCATATGCTTCAAACACCTATTACTGGCCAAGTAGCTTGATATATTACATTCACTAGATGCAAGGATTGGTCAAGTAGTTTTGTCCTTAAAATAAAATTGAGTACTTGGTAAATGGTAAAAAAATCTTGAGAAGACCAGAAAATAATATTACAGCAATGTGAAAACAATTTTGGTAGAATCTTCAACAATGCGATTTTTGGATCGTTGCAATAAGATAACAGCAGAAGAGGGCTTTTTTGCTTTGTTACGAAAATTAGAAACCGTCAAATTATGCAGTATACGAGATAATTTAAGATAAGAAATTTAAGATTTCAAAAGTTTTGGCAAAAAAACACAAATTTTTGCTTAAAAATTATACAATCAAATATTTCATTAGAAAAATTTTGCAAATTTTTACACTGATTTTTAGAGTAGATATATTCTAACTATTCTATGCCACATGTGTTCATGCATATTTATCTAACACAATATAAATAAAAAAGTCTAAGAGATTTAAATTATGTGGAAAAGCAGCAAATATCAAAAAACTTCATTGCCTAAGACTAAAAGTGGAAACTGAATAATTCTGCAACTGAGTGTTTGAAAGTAATAATTATTTTTATTTAAAAATATGATTGATGAATGGAAAATACAGTTCATCAATAGATATAATTGAATTTTTCAGTCTTGTTTATACTCTGAGCGATTTCCTCACATTGCCAAATCTTCGTACGCTCCATATCCGAGAAACACTAACATTAGCTGATGTTCCACCAGTAGATAAAATCTGCGCTCCAATTGAAGATCTTCGAATTTGCACACATCGAATGCGTATCCGACAATTGCTGACCATATGTCGAGCCTTAGCAACTACTTTGCGACGTTTAGAATTGTTACTAACTGTTATCGTGCCGGAAGGAGCTGCTACATCTGAAGTAATGCATCTATTTTATTTTGGATTTAAAAAAAAGAACAAAAACTGAAAAAAAAACAAAAATAATCAACATTTGAAATTATATTCTTCATAATAACTTCTGTGTAAGGAAGTGCGCAAGAGAATTTAAAAGTTAATATACAACTAACTAATTTGATCATTGATACGTTTAGAATCGTAGTGCTGCTGTTATAGAAGTAGCAGAAACAATGATTACTATGAAACATTTGAGTCATTTGACGCTTGCACGAGCTTTTCTTAAGGTGAGTTGACAAATAACTAAATTTATAAAATTTCAAATACAAATTTGAAAATTAAAACAAGAATTTACTTTTATTTATCTGCATAAAAAAAAAAAAAAAAAAAGGAAATTTCAGCCTTCGACAAGCGAACAAATATTTGAGCTCTTAAAAATGTTTCATTCACTGTCAACAATAACATTCGAAGCACTAATTTTAAATGATTTCATACAACTTGCAAATGTTCATCTACCGCCATCAGTATTCCATTTATTTTTCTCAGCGTTTAAAAATCATTTTTTTTTTACAGAAAGCTAATTAATCTTCATGTGAATTATCTATTAAAATTTCAGATCTATATTTTTAATTGGCAACAGCAATCATTTTCGTAAGAGCAATACTTAAATAAAACTAGAAATCATAATGCAGTTCATAACATAATAGTTTTGATGATCTAAATGTTATTATTTTGCTCGTTAAAGTTCTTTAAAGAATAATACTTAACAATTCTCTCATAATTTTTTAGGTAAAACGAATTGTCGTAACAGAATCAATCAAAATCGATCCCTCATGGTATCCACTTAATTCAGTTTCTATGGAATTCTTTGACGTTTTCAACGATGAAAGAATGCCAGTTAGTTCAATTACTGATTGTAATTTAAAACGTGATTTTCTTTTTCGATCTAGAAAAACTGAAAAAATAAAATTAATAAGTTTCAGATACTACAAGATGTGTGCCGTAAAGTACGACGTGAGATCACGTTCCAG